ATGTATGATCTGTATGAATTCGTGATGTAAAATTTTTCTTCCTCATTTTCATATCAATTTTGATTGAATCTCTCTAGAAGCTCACATTCCACAAATCAATTTTGATATCTCGCTAAATTTTATAGTCACAAACAAGTAAAATTTACGTTGTCTGTTTCCTTTCCATCTCTACCTGCAGACCTCAAAATTTTGCAATTTTTATTCACGAACCTCAACTTTTGTATCATTTTGGTAACGAAAGGGATTTCGAAGAATTTAGAGCTCTACCGCCATCACTAAATCACCAAAATGCTCACTCAGGCTTCGAATATTTATAGCTCTGCAGTTTTTTTTACTGCACTGGAATATAAGAAATCTGAAACGACGTTGAATAGTAATGTTTCTTCTTTTCCAATTCGAATATTTAAAAAAAACCAGACAAAGATCTTCAAAAACAGCCAATAAGTAGCGAATATTCAACTGATTTCGATGATCGGGATTTAGTCTCTAAAACACAGTCGCGGTAGCTGAAGAAAAGCGTCGTACACAAGCAAGCTATTACAAGATATGTGCTTTGCCACTGATACAAAATCGAGAGAATTATGGGGATATCAATATTTTCGCCTCGAGGATATTCTAAGAAGATTTTGTAAGCATGTGTAGAAGCTATGTTTTCAACTGCCACATGTTTTATAGGGTGGACGGTATTCCTCTATAGCAGATCAATTAGTGCTTTAAATAACCTATAAACAGTGCAGTAACTCATGTGAAGAGATTGAGAATACATATTGCACATTATACACAACATTTATGTAGAGTTCCAGGATCTCTGCTGATAATGGAATCGTGGCTGGGAAGCATGTATATCCATATTATGAGAAGGTTTAAGCAGCTCTTCAAACACTGACAATTGAAAAATAATGCAATTATGTGATGAAATTCAGCATTACACCCATCAGGACTAGCGCGAAAAGGTCTGTAAACGTTTTTTTTTCTTCAAGTGCCAGCAAACACAGGATGTCCCAAAAGTAAGTACACACTTTTCAATCGTTAATATCTCTCTTCCCATTGTGTCTCCGCCATTTCAGTAACATTCTGTTGAGCGAGGTTCAGCTTAGATTCACAGTATCGAGCGAATCACCGATCACTCTTCATTACTGTAGGATTACTGTAGGGACTTCGACAAGGATTTTAGGCCATTGAAACCCATATTCTGCCTCGGAACAAAACAAACAAGCCAAAAACTCTTATACTGTGGTATTGGAAGCCGCTAACTTCGAATATGAAACGTCCCACTTTACTGCATCTTTCCAAAGTTATCCCAAGTAAGCTGTAGTAATCGAATTCCCAGTATTTGTCAGAAATGTGATTACACCGTCAAAAAAGCTAAAAACACTCGTAAAAGGTTGTGTAGTGGAATCTAAGTGCGCGAAAACCCCAGTAAACGATTTTTCAGATTTTTTGAAAAAAAATTTTTCAGATGGTATATTTTACGTTTCCACATGCTGGAAGTTCTTACCGTAATCCTACAGCAACGAAGAGAGATTGATGATTCGATCAATACTGTTAATCTATGTTGAACCTCGCTCTACAGAATGGTTCCTCAAGCTCGGCAAAAGACGTGAAAGCAAGAGAGTTATTAACGATCTAACAGTGTGCACATCTTTTTGGGACACTCTGTACATACGATAAGGGTAAACTAATGTAATTTATTTATTGACAAGGTTCGTCATAAAAAACATCAATCAGAAAGGTCCGTAACCATTTTTTCGACAGAGATTCAATGGCATAATTCAATACATCAAGGATATTAGCATAGCTTTAGCGAAGTCGATAGAACAGAACTGAAAGTGGAGGAGTAGTGACGTCGCAAGTTTATCGGCAGCCGGTTGAGAGCGGGATTGTGGACGTAAACGCAGAACAAGATCCAGGGACTTCGGCGCATGGGGGGCCTTGGCGAGCGCATGGATTGTGGCGACCACGAAAACGTCGAAGCGCCTCGGTCATGCGGACGATCCTCGAATCTGGGACGCACCGCATTCACTTTCTGTCCACAGACCTCGGCACGACGGCTAGATGTCACCGAAATCGTCAGGATCGTCGCGGAAACCACAAAGCATTTTAATTTCACTTTGGAGAGCGGGATCATGTGGATCAGACGTCATCTGAGGGTCAGACAAGCACATTTGTGGGCATTCCATAAAGTCTTCAGCTTGCCATTATTAATGATCTCAGTGACACAACTAGTTTGCTACATTGTCTGATGTTAATCAAGAGGAACTATGAAAAAAAATTTCGATTCTTTACTCAAGCTTCGGCTTACTGTAGTATCCAGCGAGAATAGCCGAAGTACTTCCTCTGTGTTCAGTCCTTCTAGAAAAGGCGCGGGCACATTTTTCAACTGGTAGCTAAATTCCAGCAAAATTATCGAAATTTATAATGGTATATTCTAGAGAATCCGTGGCACGAATGTGCTAACTTCTGTTTCCGATTTGCGAACTCAACAATGTCAATCAGGAGTAGCACAGCCCTGCATCAAACGCTTGATATCCAAGTGTATGATAATAATAATGACATTTCCCGCGAAGAAATTATTTAGACCCTAGTCGTCCAAGATATCGAGTTAGCACAACATAATGGTGAATCAGCGCGAAAATTTCTGTCCATTATTTCTGAAAAGATGTAGATCTTTCTTTTTTCATTAAGTTAGCTCAAAGGCAGTTTTTAGCTTCAGAGATCATTGCCACTGTAGAAGCGTTCAAGCGGCTCCCAATGAAGAAATCTAAAGTAAGCGGAAACAGAAATCACTTAAAATTTGCTTTTTTGTGACAGACAAGTCAAAATCCGGAACAGTCGGAACATGAATTTCAAAGTATACTCCTTTTATCTGAGAAGATTTGAATTGGGGAGATGTCTCCAAATTTTGGATAGGAATGGCAAAGCAATTTATTTTCTATTTTCTACTTCAAAACTTAAACATTATAACTCTCCAAAAAACTTTCGACCAGCACAAACGCATTCTTCTGGTAGAAGTGTATTGAATTTACGATTGCGACCTATCCCCAAAACACCAACATAAGCTGATCATGCTTATCTGTCACATCTATCTTATCTATCATCTTATCTCACAGGAAAAGCTGAGGTGCCATCATGAAGGGAGTGATTTCGTTCCTTCAGAAAAGGGAAGTCACAATTTTGAAAATAGTGCATCAGGATTTTTGAGCCAATCTTAATCAAAAGCATCTCAACATGACAGTCATTATCTGCTATGGTCTTCTCCTTTCCTACATTCGGCTCATTGTAGTACTTCAGGTCTAAGTATTAGGTTGATGCAAAAAAATGGCCGAAAAAATCTACATTCCCGAACACGATAAAAACTATCAGAAGCAACAAACCTTTTGCAACACAGCACACATTAAGCTATACTCACATCACATACGAGTAGAAAAATATGAATTGATAAATAAAAACAATTTTTTTTTCTGAAACCTTGTTTTTGACAGATCATAACTCCCTTCAAAGTTTGTTAGTATATACGATGAATTGCCTATCTTGTACCCGCAAGCCAGTAGGACAAAAGAGATGGAAGGGCTTGAACAAAGGAAATTTGCAAAAAAAGAAGAAATCAAAATTCGAAACTGTCAGCTTTTTCAACATTTTTCTTAGGTTTCAAAGTCCCAAATTATAATATTTTCTAATTTTCCGCGTACTGAACAGATAAAAGTTCTTGCAAAAACTGTCAACAGGATGCCCTACCCCTACGCTTACGAAAATGAGTATAGCTTTGGCATTGCCTTTTCAGAAAAATTTATGGACCACGGAATGACTACAGCGACCAACCATGTTTGAGCCGATATCTTGTTCTAGATGATTTCTGAGAGAATGCTAAAGTATACGTAAAGTAGATGATTTCTTTCACATACAGTGGCTAAGTTTTCGGGAAAGCGCCCTCATTCGGGCTCGAATTCTAGCAAGAAACGTGAATGCAACAAAAATCTGATTTTGGATGCTGCTATTTGAAGCTCTGTAGGTTTTTAGAAAATGATGCTGGTAACCGGCTCCAATCATGATCAGATAGAGCATGAAAAGATCTTCTCGATGGTATGCTGTGGTTATCTCAAAGGAGGAACTTCTAAGGAAAAAAGTTGGATTGAAAAAGGCTTGGAAAAACGGCCTATACTTTTGTATCAACCTACTACATGCTCGCACAAAAGGATAAGTAATGTGCATTAGAGTGTAGATCGAGATGTCAGCTTTTTTATCTCAAGAAAACTGCATCCTATGAAAATAGAAAAAAAGCTCTTTCAGTGGGCGCTTAATAAGGTTTGACACGTGCAAGTGCAGTCATGACAGTCCTCACATCATTCTTAAAAAGAACTTGAAGTGTGTTTCCGAGAGCAACGGAACATCAAATTTACGAAAACCCATATCAAGGAATTCAGCTATTAGACCATTCATATATCAGGCTTCCGCATGACCGTTTTCTGAAAACAGAGTAGAAAACAGAAACAACAGAGAAGGTGGAAAAGCGTATCTAACAGCAAGAATGAAAAATCATCCTGCATTTGAAATAACTTAACTGAGGAGCTGAAGCATTTACATGAGGAATCAGCAAACGCCAAGCAATTATCTCATTTGTGAAAAAGCTCATAAATGGAAAGAAAGAGCTTTTCTGCAGCCCTTATTCTAAGCTCTCTACATATATCGCCAAGATCTGGTGGGACAAATGATAGGATGACACCAATCTTATTTACGTTGCGAAATTAATGCGTGCTCTTCGAGGCCCTTTCCGAGTAACTTTTCTCCACCAAACCTTATTCAGTTGCATACGATTTGAAAATTGTTCTTACTTCTCATGTCTCATGGCGCGCTCCAATACGGCTCATGCGCCCTTTAATGAAACTCTTAGTACCGTTTAAAACGTTTACTAAATTCTAGCATTCGCCCTTGGAATGATAGCTTGTGCTAAGCCTAGGTTCCGCCTTTCAGAGCTGGAGATGTCTTGATTTTATTTTTTTTTCGGTTGTGTGGCTTTGAAACTTACATAGTTACGGCTCTAAAGACTTGCATTTCAGATGGAACGAAGTCTCGATAGTTCGTGTTTGGATGCTGACGCGACTGGTGACCGTTTCAGTACACAATTCAACAGCACTGCTTTTGTGTCGATAGAAGAGAACTCATGCAGTCCAAACTTATGCAAGAAACCTGGTACGTGAATTTCGCCGCTCTTCCCAATTCGTTCTTCGGTTTCTAACAGAGGAATTCAGATTTGAAGCTGTCTCCAATCTTCCATGATAATGAGAGGAGAACCTTGTACAGCAAGCGAATGGTGCAGTACAAGTTTCGTGGCGAAAGTCCATTAGTCAAGAATGGTCGCTTGGAACCAGCACACCCACTCAGTGATATCTCAGAGATTCGCGCTGCGGAAGTAAGTGTGTTTCTTGAGTCCTTCCCTATAAGCATCGTGGATGTTGTTTGTCAGCGTAGAGCTTATTTTTGCACTAGAGATCGCTTCCTGAAATTTTATGTTTACAGACCGATGATTCATCCTCTCATTTGACGAGCAGTATTGATGATGATAATGTTTCAAACAAGGAAAACGATCGTCCAGGAACGTCCACACCGGACAAGTTGGTTACACTACACTTTTTGCAGTTTTTAAAATCCGTTTTACGGTCATTATTTACTTTTTTCAAGTTTTTGAGTAATCAGTTGTCTTCGAAAAACATGTCTTCCTTGACAATTTGGGTACTATTCACATTAGTTGACCTAAAAATTTAAATCGTAGATCTCGCTAAAACTTCGGGTTATTTTGCACGCTTGTTACGAGCATCACATTTATTTCGCACGGTAGCACCATCCGGTGAAGTTACGGTAGGATTACCGTGAGGGGTCGAAACCACGGGTTAGCCCCAAACTTCGTCCATAAGATATTTGGCCCCCTGAACATCAAAATCATATTCATTTTGTACGGTAGCGTCATTTTTCGGGTTACGGTGGGTATGCGGTAGAAGGCTAGAATCGCGAGTTTGCGTAAAACGTTGCCTAGAGGGTTTCTAAGCACGCTGATTACGAATATCGCACTCGTTTTGCATGACAGAGCGATCGAGCCTTTTCGTGGATTGGAATCTAATATTGCTTAAAAGCGGAAAAATTGCTCTTTCACGCACTGTAACTCATTGTGACTCTAACATTAGGCATTGTTGCAGCGAACATGAGCATGCTTAAAGGGCACCGTCCACCCAGATTCTCGGCTTCCAGTTTTTTGTCGTTTCAGGGCCTTCTCATGTCCCTGATTCCAAATATGATGTCGGGAATCCGCGAAAACCCCGACAATCCTCATTCCGGAGAACCCACAGGCCGGCTTTCCAGAACGGTAATCGGATGAGCGCGCACAAAGGGGCGGGCATGGGGGGGGGGGGGTCCTCGTGCATCTTCGCTATTCTGAAGCGGTTTTCTCGCTTCCGAAGCGGCATATTGCGCCGCGACTTGGGCATTGGCTTGATAGGAGACCCCACTGTTATATGCTGCCAAAGCTCAACACCCTCAACTTAGGGTGGACGGTGCCTTTAAGAACTGTTTCAAGCAAGGTTATGAGCGTAGTCGGGATTCTCAGTCATCTACCGTATTCTATCGCAACCCGAAAAATTGGCGCTACTGTACGAAATCAATATGATACTCATGTTCAGCTTGCCAAACCTCCCTAGACGAAGTCTGGGGCAAATCCGCGACCAGATGGCAATACCGTGCGAGATAAGTGTGGTATCGTTATCAGCGTTATAGATGACCTTATAGACGAAGTTTCAGCGAATTCCACGATTTTCGTTTTTTGGGTCAACTAATGTGGAATAGCGCCGACATTTCTTGATTCCTTTCAAAACAAAGATTCGTTTTTTTTTCGAAGGCTGGCTTTGTGGCCAATCAACATCGTAGAACTTTTACAAGAGTGCCAGCGAAAGGGTTCAACTAATTATCGCTAGAAAGACGGAAAAGTTTACGTTCTATGTTAAACGACCCACTTTCATCCTTCGGTATGCACAATGAGTACAGCTGAATTGTTACAAATCAAATTTGAATGTCTTCTGCACTTTGGTTTTTGGTCACCCTGGGGTTATCTGTGGTTTGTTCAGAAACGTCAGCATACCATCCCACTCAAGATCGCTGAACTCGTTTGAGAACCACATCCTTGAGACTCTTCACACCAATACCTTCAGTCCAAGTGTATTTGCCGTGCCTGAATCTCCAGCTTCACCTGAGGTTCATTACAAGTTTACATATCCTTGTGATTTAGTGGTTGTGATTTAGTGGTTCGGTTTCAGGAGTTCAAGTGGTCTATCGAAGAGCTGTCGATACTAAAACCGGTGCATATAACACAGGAAGAGATAGCTCAAAGCTCCTACTCACCGTTAGTTAAAAAATTTTTTTACTCAGTGAACATGTACATGAAGTCTGTTGTTAAGAGATCCTGAAACTGAAGCCAAGATTCAAGCAATACTAGACGAATATTGGCGTAATAATACTTGTCATATACCTTCACCTGATGCTCCCGTTAGGGTAAGTTTCATCAGAGTTCTATGACGGGTCCAATCATACGAATTGAATTTATTCATACGAGCAATTTTTGAATATAAAGCACGTACTGAATTTAGAACCCACTGTTGGGAGGTCCGGAAACTCCTTTATGTGATGCTGTGCGTGTGCAAGCCGCTTTGCGCATGAAGTATTCTACTTCTTCTCCGAAGGCTCGCCCAAGTGTGACGTCTGGCTCTCGTCGAACCAGCTTTATCCAGCCTCATCGCAGCAGGTCTTCACAGACTGAAATTACGATCAATCCCTCGGCTGATATCGACTTTGCCAAGCTATTAGGTAGTTGTAGAAAGCTTCAAAATTCAGTTCTTCCCCTTTTTTCTCGTCTAAGGGAAAGTTTTCAGGTACTTCTTGTGTGTATAATTCTGCTGATGATTGCGACGACGAGTCCGTATTCGACGCCACAGCATCAAGTGTAGGCTCACTGCGAAGACGTTTGTTTATTGGTGAAGATGAACAAGACACTTCCCAAGTTTGTGATAATGATGGAGATATGGTGAGGATATCTTTCACCTACTTCGAATTCTTTCATATCTATATTCGCAGAGCGCAACTAATGACGAACCTCCTTTGGACAGCGCTGGAGATATAGTACGATATGATCTCGATGGTAGTGAAACTGCCTTTGGTGGTCTGGAAGACATAATGCTTTCACCCATCAAAGCGTCGCCTTAAGATCTCAGTCGCTTGCCTTTCAATCATCCAGCGTTCAGTATGGTAATCGTTATCGTATCTTCTGAATGAGCAACTTGAATTGTTGGTGATTGGATTTTTCACTTACGTAATGTGAGCTGTTTATCAGATAGTAACAATTACTCACTGTATCTCTTTTCTGTAAAGTTGTACTGTGCATTATCAATGACTTGCATAGATTTACTTCTTTTTACAGAATTTTTCTTAATTTGTACGGGTTTCAGTTTTCTTTTATTCTTTTCCTTGCATGTGATCAGTGAAAAAAGCCATTTGATGGTTGTCTCTAGATGAAATCACCTCATTATTATTAGAATCTTTCTATGTCTACAGGCTTGAATGAGCTTGTGGTAAATCAGTTTAAGTCATCATTGAGCCTTTCTATCTCTCTGACTGTATTCAAGAGATCTGTACGCCAAATAAAATGGGTGATCTGTTATCTGCGATACTTCCAGTAATGGTGATTAGGCAAATCCTCCAATATCTCGAAAAGAAAATTTCGAATGTGATATTTCCGCCTTAATTAATATACTTTTCAGATGAAACTTCTAACGCATAACTTTCTATCATCCAGATTTCTTAAAAATGTGAATAATGGCTATCCACTCATTTTACGAGCAAATCAAAAAGCGAATAAGGAAGTGGAATTCAACGAGAAGTTTGTGCTCAACATGATGCCAAAGGTACATTCTTTCTTTGGTATATCGAGTGACCATTAAATACTTTTGTACAGGTCGATTATGCTTCGCTGTATAATGCTGCACTGTCGATCGGTGAGGCAGGAAACATGCCAGAGTCATTGCCCGACGATTGGGAAACTAATACCCCCGTCTTGATGGAGGTTAGTGCATCAACTTATTGTCCGCAGTCTCGTTACCATCGTTGCGCGTGCCACTCGCGGCTTTACGCTCGTTTGTGCATCTTTTGCAGAAAAATCACTGTGCTTATGTTTCACGCCTCAAAAGCGGCTGCTTGCAGTACATGGGAGTAACTTTGGGACAAAACCCGTACCCTTTCAGTTTCGCTAGCTTGCAAATTTCGATAAATATCTTTTACTCTTAGCAGGCATATCATAACGCTTGCTTGTCTACATTCAAATGCACTTTTGTCCAATAAGTGCTGCCGTTGACTCCGAATTGGTTTGGCCAGATTTTTCTTTACTCTTGGAGCACTTTTCCATCATTGATAATCCTTTCTCGCTATATGATTACTCCTTTTCAATACTGTTCTTCTTCAAGCTGCATCGAGTGATGCTCTGCGTTGAAATCATAGACGGCGAATTGGAGTGCCCGGATACTGGACGAAAATTTCCCATCAAGGATGGTATACCCAACTTGTTAGTCAACGAGAATGAAGTTTGATTACTGTATCGGATTCATCAGCTATTTCTATGTACTAAGCTCTTGATGTTCTAATTTTTTGGATGACTCTAGGTTTTAATGTGGTTGTGCACATTTCAGATCGTTATTGTTGTTATCTTCTTGTTCTGTCTCCTTTTTGTTGCATATGTATTTCCTTATACCGGTATCATGTAGTGTAAAAGCGCACTCTCCCGAAAATGTAATCGCACAGCTTGTGTATTCGCCAGCATATGTTTGGTCGCGATAAACTAGATAGACTTTGTAAGGTTTCAGTGCATAACCCAGTCAAGGATAGCTGTCAGCAGCTAACTCCACAGCTGAAGATTTCTCATTAGTGTGCGAGTCTTTACAAAATCAGCACTGTCTCATGAACAAAGCGTTAGGTAAAGCAATCAACGCTAATCTATAGAATTTCTCAAGTCAAAAGCGCAGATTGTGATCAAGTCATCGAAATAATACACTTTTGCTAGAGTAGTAGTCCTTCGAGAGAACAGCGGAGCGGACGTTAGGGCTTACCGATATTTGACCGGAAGTCAAAGTGGGCTGGTAAAGTGGTAAAGTAAAGAGTTTTAACTTTATCTTAGAATTCATAGTTATGGATTGCGTTCAGTGTTGTATTTAGCATTCATCACTGTCTTGAGATTTTTCATATTCCAAACATTCAGTGAAACAAGAAAAGCGAGTTCGTGTGCTCTTAACTTGCCTTATCAAATGTGCGCTATATACCTCTAGTGATATTACTCGTTCCAAATTAAGCTGCACTCCGAAATCCTGTCCGATCACTCTGCGATGCAATCAAAACCATCCTTCTGTTAGCAGTGGTGACTCCAAATTTTTATTATTTTCGATTAGTCTACAGAAAAAAGTTCCCACTTGATTCTTGTAAGTTTATGTCTGGCAGTGGCGATCCGAAAAATTTTGTTGCTACGAAGGGCCTTAGCCATGCCAACACATTTGGAAAAACTTCCCTATGAAACGCCTTTAGATTCAGCAAAGACTTGTCTTTTGCGAAGGGAGATCATTTACATTCTACTCATATATGCACACGTCGAAATCTCCCGAAGTTCAGAAACAAATCATGATAGGGCTCACTTTCGTGCTCTTACTAATGCGCACGAAATTTGAACAGAAAAAAAAAGAAAATGGCTTGTTAAAAATGAATAAAGAATGACAGGGACCGCTTGGTTTTGTGAACAAGATTCCAGAACAATGTGAAGGTATGACAATATACCTGAATGAAGGGCAGCAGCTGGCTTTATATCCAGTCTTGGCGAAGAAATTATGTGATACTGCAATACATTTTCATTTTTTGTGAAAGTTTAAAACATTGAATATATATCCAGAGCCGGCTCACATGGACGAATAGAAGGACTTCCGTTTTCCTGGAATAGAGACAGCAATAGCAAAAACCTTCTAGTCTTAAAGAGGAAAAATCTCGCAGCAATGAAGAACATATTGAAAAGAACGGGTAGATAGCTGAAATCTTGTTTGAGTTGACATTTACGATTTTCCTCTTTGCAGACAATTTCGATTACTGGATAGAATTTCAATCAAATTAAACGCTGTCTCGTTGAGAGGAGTGTGAGGAGCTTAGAGCACCTCCAAAAAAGTATATCGTCTGTACTACATATTTATTGAGTGAAAAGATCCACCTTTAGATTTCAAGAATTCTTTAAACAGTGAAACAGCACACACCCGTAAGGCAGTGCTTTGCCATCACTGGGAATCAAAACAGCGAATTATTGTGGTTGATTGTTTTTATTTTTGGCGGTTAGTCTATTTGGGAGCGAACCAAATATTCAGGTAGTTTGATTGCATGATTATTCAGTTTGTCAGTACAACCAAATGCCCACTCGCTGCACCATACTCTCTGCCATCACGACTGAGACATATGACAGATACCGTAAGCGATTTGGCCCCAAGAAAATCTGAATTTGTCTTTCTCTCACTCATGAATATTCTCGCATCAAAACCGCTAATGATCAACCCTTTCCCATGTTTACAAGAGTAATACCAGAATTTTTATTTCTCTACGTTTTCGCTCTTTTTTTGCTGCAGATGGATATTTTTTGACGAATCAGACCCTATATGGTGAAACCGATCACATCTAAATAGTTCGACTTCTGGAACGCTTCGACTTCAAACAACTACAACAAGAAAGCTCCCTGAGAATGCGCATACATTTGACTTCAAAAAGAAGCAACAAAAACGCCATATATGTACTCCGTATAAATGCTCATATTAGGTCGTTCCGAAAGTAATGTCGCTTTTTTCGAATACGCCGCTATCGGTGGAATCAACATTTTCAAGAGATCTTAGGAGCATTCGATGCAGCATTTCATCTTCTTTATAAGAGTTCTATTTTCACTGCACAATGTTCAATGAGCTCTCGAATTACCAAAATCTGCGACTCATGCTTTTTGCCATGGTCAAGTTCGGCTATTTTTCTAAATTTTTGTACCTAATCTCCGAAAAAGTGGAAGTGGCGGGTAGATAGAGCAAACACTACAGAACACAGAGTAATTTTTTCTTTTCCTTAGCTTGCTTCTCAGAGTTTCTACAATCAATTTCTCAATGCCATCAAATTCCATATTTAGTCAAGTCAAACCTCACAGAACAACAACCGGCAAGCGACTCGGGTGTCATTCGATGCAGCTTTTTCTCCTCTTTCTAGTGGTTGTTTTTTGTTTCCGATTTATCAAGTTTTCCGGGATAAAATCATCATAGTTCAACTTTTCCAAGGCACCCCTAGGTGTACCCGAAATTTTCGAAAGTTGCTAAACCGAAGCCATGAATGCTCGTTTGGTTTGTAAAATTGTTGCCAAACCATAATCCATCTTTCTAAGTTTCAAAATCCGGTGATTTGTTGGCGTTTGATGCACTTGTTTCTGAGACGAACCTGCTAAAATTCGGTGGTTCCATCAAAAAATCTGTACAAAAATTATGACGAGCTCTGGAAAGTAGAAAATAGTTGTGCTGTTTCATAAGGGTTTGCTCCATCCATCCATTACTTGGACTCCTTCTGAGGTTTGTTATAAAATTTTAGAAAAATTGTGAAAGTTGGCCATCTCAAAAAGCATAGGTCGCAGATTTTGACTCTTTTCTGGAAGCGCGTTGATTGTATTGCAACAGCTTCATAACCTTTAGAAAGAGAATGAAACGCTGCATCAAATGCTTCCAAAATCTTCTACACATCTTTGTTCCACGAGGTGTGGCATACGTTTGAAAAAAGCGACATTACTTTCGGAACGACCTAATATACTAATTCTCCTGACATTCACAGCTTACGGACAAGTTAGACTGACGATTGAAACTTACCTTTAAGGAACGGCAGTCCAAAGTTGAACAGTACAGTCTATCAGATTTTTATAGAGGGTGAGATCTCCTGTAGCGCAACGCATCGAAATTTGGCCTAGAAAATGAGCAATTTGAATATGCTTGAGCCTTGCGCGAAGGGTTAAGGTAGTGGGATTTGAATTGCAATTTTGAGGTTGACAACACCGAAATCTAGTACAGGATTTTATCGGAGAATTTTGATGATTTGTGCCATCATAGCGGATTTCCTTCTTACCTGATAGTGATGTTAGCAATGCCACATCGGCAGAGGTCTCGGATAAAGTACTGATATCAAAAAAAAGTTTCGCTGAATCAACTACATATTTCAAGACGTGGCAGCGGCAGCTCTTCAGCTCTTCAGCTCTTCGTAGCCATCGCCGCCAATGAAGTACCATATGATACTCTTGGATTCCTATGCTGCAGCCTGTTCGGTCCCAATCCGACAACGTATATTTTGATCCGCTTCCACTGGGCTATGCTCACTGTACACCCTCTTTTTGAGTAAGTTACACTCATCAATGTATTTAAAAGCATCGCAAGATGCACTACGAACTAAAATATTTAACAAATTGTTGAGCATTTGATGTTGACCGCAATGCGTTGAATAGCAGCAGCCCCAGTCCCATTGTCGTACAGTTTCTTCCCCTAACAGATCGGTGTGAACTAGTTCTAGGAAGGGAAGTGTGATAATGAACTAGATGTGTCGCGATGCATACTTTTACTTGATACGCGATTCCTTTACTTCTGTCCGATAGCTTTGGTTACCGATATTGCATTAAGTTGTGCCAACTGCTATCATAAGCCATTTACATTCAATGCTTTAAAGCAAATTCGAGCGAGTTCTCCAAGATGTATTCAAGCGCTTTAGCTGCCTTCAAGTCAAAGTCTGCATTAAACAAATTTTAATTATAGTATCGTAAAGGTGGATCCTTCATACTGTATTGACATCAACTACAAAAAGTTCCATATTGAAATCATATATAGGGTTGTCTCAAGAAAATGTGCCTACTGTTTGATCATTGATAATCCCTTGTCATAAAGACTTTCAGTAAGCTACAAGCAACATTTTGTAAACTAGCTTCGACTTGGATTTACAGTATGGAGCGATTTACCTCCTTTTCACTGTGTAATGTAGGGTCATGGTATGGCTTTAAGGAGCGTTTTGCGCCATTGAGGGTCATATTTTGCCTCTAAAAAGGATTAGAAGAGCTGAGAACTCGTACACTAGGCTAGTCGGAGTCTCTAAAAATACGAAACTCGCACTTTACTGTACCGCTTTTCTCATAAGTTATGCCAGCTATAGCGTAACAACCATGTTCTGCTATTCGTCGAAATCTGATTATGCCATTTAAAACTTTTCGAAGCGCCAAAAGTTATCTAATGAAATCAGCATGCATGAAAATCTGTTACACAAATGTTCATCTTAAAGAATTCTTTTCAACGTCTATCTCACTGGCGTGTAGGCTGCGAGTTCTTAGTAACTCTACAGTAATGAAAGGATCGGTGATATGCTTCATTGAGTAAATTTAATTTCCAGCTCTACAAAATGGTGACGTTATGCGCGGCAAAAGAATGAAATCGACATCAATCTCAAGAATGTTTTTGTGCCGAATGCGAGTTTTTGGCGCTTCATAATCATTCGAACACCTCAAATGGTTCTCCTTTTTCACTCAAAACTGCATTCTTTCAACTAAACTTTTTTGTAGTGTTACAGTAACAAAGTTTGATATATCTGCTACACACTGAACCCACAGTTCAGAATGAAGAGCGATACTCTTCTCAGATGGTTAGAATGCTTCTGAAGTCAGGCGATCTGTTTTCTATTGTTCAAGTACTTTAATTAGTTTTTACTAAAGGTATGCGATGAACTAAGCTTTTCCGATAGATATTTTGTTCGACGCCTGGAACATCCTTGCGTTCTGGTCGTTCAACCAAATTCCAACCTTACGCTAGGGTTAGCACGTTTTTGAACTCCGAAACTCAGCTTTTGTAGTCCTATAATAAGCTAAGCACAAACTATGCAAAAGTCCGTAAGATCTTACGTTTGGCCAGAATAGTTTTGCAACGCTGAGCGTTTTGTTTTGGGCATGCAAGGTCATCTTAAAAAATGGCCGTGTTTATTACTACAATCACACTTTTCCGGTTAGCTCCGAAGCTCCAGCATTTACTGCAAAAAGAAAAACTAGTTACTCCAGCACGGTACATCAATACACAACCAATGCAATTGTCTCATCCAGGGCTCGGCGCGAGCTGGCACCAGGAAATTTTCAAAACGAAGTCCCCCTTGACTTTTGGGAATTTTTACGAAGTCCCCTTTGATCCTCAACACCCCTCTAAAATCCTAAAACCCCCCCCCCCCCCAAAAAACGAAACGTCGACTAAAAAAAAAGGTTGCCGTCGCCAATTTTGCGTATATCTTCGCCCACAAAAACGAAACTCCCTTTGCTTTTTGCCCCAAAAACGATATCCAGCTTGCCCCGTGCCAGCTGGTGCCAGGCCCTGGTCTCTTCGCAACTCTTTGCACGGCAGAAGCTGAGTTTTGAGGCTCGAAATTGTGCTAACCCTAGGGTAAGGAACCAAGGGAACGCGACGAATACGCGAGGATTTTCCAAGCGTTAAAAAAATCTATCGATAAAGCTTATTCTGTCTTATAGCATTGGCAGAAGTAATTAGAATTCTTGAACCATAGGAAAAGAGACTTTTGAACAGCACTTACTCCAAAACATGTGGGCGATCCGACTGAGAAAAGAAACGCTCTTTTTTTCCCTGAACTACGTTGGAATCGGTGTGTAGCAGAGATCTCAAACTTTGATACTGAAACTCTATAAAAATTTTACTTGGATTATTGGGATTTTGAGTGAAAAAAGAAGCTTAGGTTAAGATAGTCATTATGAGCTGCTAAAGATCCGTATTCGGCGCAAAAACATTCCTAACAATAAGGTTTGACACGATTTTCAGTATTATGCGGCGCACCGTTTTACCGTTTTCGGCTCCCAAATTTGGCTCAGAGATTGTGAGGATTCCTTTTTTTGGCTGTAAAGGGTTCACAGAAAATGAACCAAAATTTCCAAGATTTACAGTACCGTGCATCTGCGAAAAAGACGCAAGCTACGGTGGCGTCACGTAACTCGGGTAGTAGCTCTTGAAACTGTATCGGTATTATCTACTCTGCTATCATCGAAAAACGACAAAGTTTGCCGTTCTTTATTGCGCCATATAATGTGTATGTGTCGTAAAATTTGTAAAATAATGAAATTTGTTAAAAAAAATTTGTATATATGTTAATGCGAACTGAGTTAACTTGTTTTTTAGTCACTAACCACAATCACGGTGAAAACATCCGTAACGTGAGGAAATCAAAAAATGAACAATCGGCAGGATCGTCTTGATTTTTTCGGGAATCATTATCCCCATCGGTTAGCATCGAGCAGAGAAGTGAATTAGGAAAATGAACTGAGGAAACGTGTATGGGGAAATTCCGACCAAGTACAGCAATTCATGAGTAATTCCACGAGATGCGCAAAACTGAAAATATTCATTTCATCTTGATTTTAAATCGTATCACATCGGCTGGTTCTCTTGGAACTACACTCAATGCAAACTTATCACTTGAAATCTAAGTCCTGAGATGCCTTGTCAAGTTCGTATTCAGCAAAGGAAAAACAAGATGCCCTTTGTCGATAAGGAAGTTTCATATGAAGAAGAAGGCGAAAACAACAGAATGTAAACAGTCTGCCGTAATATTGATACTCGATTGCCTTAAATTGACAAATTGTTCTTCTCATTATTTGCAACATTCTTTATCGAGCTTAGGATTTGTTTCTTTTTGAGAGTTGTATCAGAGCATTCAGCTTGTATTCATTTCTCGGCCTCGTCATTGAAATCCATGTTTGTACCTTATTCTCCTCAATGTCAGAATGCTGCTGCAGTTGTTAGCAGTATTCGCATCCATTTGCAATGGCCATAAAATTCTTGTGGTCATTCCAAAAATGGGATACAGTCACATGAACTATTTGGGATCTATAGCGGACACACTTGTGGATGGCGGTCACGACGTGGTGAGCATATATATAACATTGAAATTTGTAGTAAAATACTATACATTGCACAACAAAGTTCATACGACTCCAGGCTTGCATAAAATTTCTTTGTAATTATTCGGCTTCTGGATTTCGCTAGAATTGCCTTCGTAACGTGTATTATTAATTTGTGCCATACTCATTTACCACTAACAATTAAGGATACCAATTAGATGATAATTGAAAAGAAATGTATATCATTATACGCGCTTTTGGACGCTGATTGAGTGTTCAAACATCCAAATTTGTCAAGCCTTGAAAGCAAAAAATAGCAAAAGGCTGGAACCTCTGTGAGTATTTTTACCGGCTTCACTCCTTCCCTGTATTCAGTAAACTTGGAACAACCTTGATAAAGACTTCATCAAGGCAATTGAAAGTTCGCTAATCAAAAACGTTTCCTGTTTTCTTTTGTATAAAATCAACAGATAGGACTTGCCATCTAAAACATATTGTCGGTCTATCATTTTGCCAGAAATCTGACCTAGTACAGTGACAGAAAGAGAACGTAACATAGCTGAAATGTTTGCAGAATTTTTCCAGGTCTCCCTACAGCCATTGCTATTTCCACACAAAAGTAATGGCACAAGAAAATCTCGCCTTATTCAAGTCGATGTCGATGCCGCAGCGACTAGAGAGTTATTATCGAATCACCACATGGACCAGGAGATTATGTGGACTGCAGGATCTACAAATCCTATGGGCATTATAGGGGTCAGCACGGGTTTACAAGTGATTTGGACGATTTATTATTGAAATTTAGACTTTACCGTTCCTCAAGGGAATCACGTCGTCATCCGTACAACGTAGGGTTTCATAGCACTACTCCATTTCTTAGCAGTGTCCAGAATTGCCGTGTGCCAACGCTGTGCCACGTCTGTTCCAACGCCGTGCCAGCGTGTGCCGCAGCAGGCCGATGTCGGCACGGCGGAACGCGCGCTGGCATGAGCTGGCACGAGAAATTTTGCATGCAGTTTCAAGTGATTACAGATCTGTTGGAGAACAAGGAGCTACTGGAGCAGCTTAAAGCGGAAAAATTCGATTTGGGAATTACTGAGCTGTTCGACTTCACCGGCATGGGTAGCTCAGTCATTCTTCCAGAGAAGAAAATTCATTACTATTACTTCAGCCGTATTTGAGGCAATTGGTTTGAAGAATATTGTTGGAGCTCATGCACAGTCTGCGTTGTTTGAGGGCACAGCCTACGCTATAGGATCTCCAGTGATTCCCAGTCTCATGCCCGGTGGGTTCTTAAGGCGATAAACTTAGAGAATAATCTACCTTTCAGCTTCCTTGGGAATCACCGACGACTCCCTTTCATTCACAACTCGTGCAATAAACCTTTTTTTCACTTATTTATCGTACTATTTCCAAAGCAGTCTCGCTAGCGCCGCTGAAAATGCTATGAAAAAGCAGTTGGGAAGTTCTGCAACTCCTATATGGGTAAGATTTCCATATTTCGAAATTCTTTCCTTATATAAAGCACTTCAGGATCAAGTTGGGCACATGACCTGGATTCTAACGAACTCCGAACCGTTGCTAGAGTTCGATAAGCCAACTCTGAATAAGGTGATCCACATCGGTGGCATTGGCGTCCATGAACCCAAACCTCTAGATAAGGTGATTTTGAATCAAAGGGTCAATATCTCTGAGCATTTGTTTTAGGAATGGGACAAGATTCTGAATTTGCGCAAATCTACTGTGTTAATCTCATTTGGTAGCGTCGCTCCTAGTGTGAGCATGCCGCTAGTGGTAAAGAAGGCTTTCATCGAGGTGATAAAATCGTGAGTTCGTCCCTTTTGAATTCAGCACCAATCTAAAATCATCTCATGGACTCAATGATAGCTTGAAAAAGTTAGCCAATCATCAACATATCTCTAAGGCCCAAGGCATACCTCGCGCGATTTCGTCAAATCGCTACATCCACGCGACCTGACAGTTTGCCAGATATTTGCAGATCAATCGTGTGCGGGTCTTAAGTGCATAGGCGCCTAGCTACCGTAAGTTATAGCAAAAGCTTTAAGTCTGGCTCATGCAAAGCGCGCTAACGACCAGTTACGAAGAGTCGCTGCAGTGCCAACTCGCGCAGCGACTGGAATCGCGTGAAGTATGTCTTAGGCCTAATCCCCAAAAATAGGACCAGGGAACAATCCCTATCGCAATCAAATTTTATTTGAATATGCAGTTCTCCTTTACAGTTTTCCTGATGTTACATTTATCTGGAAGTATGAACAGCCAGATGAAGCACCATTCGCTAAAGATGTCGAGAACCTCATTCTCTCCAGCTGGACTCCCCAAAGCGATTTGCTCGGTTAGTAGGGAAGTTCTCAAATAATACGGGAAAACAAGTGCAATAGGTTGTATTGTAACAATTTTTTAGCTGATCGCCGCTTGACATTATTCGTAACGCATGGTGGTTCAAGTAGTACTATGGAGAGTGCAACTTTTGGAAAACCCTTGATTGTTATTCCTCTTTTTGGTGATCAGACAAGAAATGCCAAAATCATCACAAAATTTGGTTTCGGTAAGGTTTTCCTTGATGACTTCGATTTTCTGAAATAAGCTCGTGTTTATTTCTAGGTATTCACGTAGAGAAAGCTTCTCTGCATGACAGCAAAGTGCTTCGTAACGCGATTGAAACAATAGTCAAGGACCCCAAGTAAGTCGCTTTGATAGTTAAATTTGAAAGTAAAGACAAGACAGCGCTTTGTCTCAAGGAACTTCGCGACTGATTGAAATTCAAGAAATCGGCCTCCTTTAACATTATATTGGGTTGATGCGAAAGTTTTTGCATAAATCAAACGAAATTTATAACTTTGTTATCAGACTCAAAATCGTAGTTCAGTATTCTAAAGATAGTAAGGGCGCTCTATTATAGGTCAAGCATGATAATCTATAAAGCCACCGAGTACGAAGCTTTTAAAAATAACGTTTGAAATCCCTCGATTTTGAATTTTGTTGCTTGAAGATCGTAGAGGACCCAAACCCAAAAAAGTGTGCAAAAATTTTTGGCTTAGCACAAATTAATCGTTACTGTGGCAGGCTTTGTTCTTTTATGGTAACGCAAAAACAAAGATTTTGTGGAAAAAGGCATTTTACATGAAAAATCCTCACTTTTCCAGGATTTTTCTGCTTACATTTCCATAAGAAATTGAAGCCTGGAAAACTCGTATGGATTTTTGATGTGGAGATTTCAACACATTTTTTGGGCTACTTAGCGGCCCTCCGCGATTTTGTAGCTAACTTATAGAATGTGCTTGAACATCCATAATGGAGCGCAAACTTTCTTCTATTTTTGGGATAATAAGCTTGTCTAGGTTCGGTATTTGCGTTACTGATTTTTTGAATTATTCAAAATTTCCGCACCAACCTAATATATCTATCACATTAGTTTTTCATTGCTTGAGTCCTGCGGATATCTCTACAAAAATCATTTGATATTTTTTTAGATATACAACTGCAGCGAATCGTGTCCAGAAACTTCTGTCAAAACGACCATTTTCGCCTGAAGAAAAGCTGCTAAAAACTGTTGATTTAGCCGTTGAATTTGGACAAATTCCAGAGCTTTTGGTGTCGGGAAGAAAACTTAGCTTCATTACATACCATAATCTAGACATTTTCGCTGTTTTTCTTGCATTATGTACATTTGCTACTTTCTTGTTTATATCATGTCTCAAAAGACTTACTGGTAATAGAACAGTAGATGCGAAGATCAAGAAGCAGTAAGAAGTACTTGTTAGCTGATATGTATTTCAAAGGAAGGTTGTTCAAAAGATTTATCAATGCTGCATTGCTAAAATAAATGATTCTAGCAATTCGTAACACACTTGTTGTACATAAAGTCATCAGAGATCACTCTTTCAATTTCCTGTTCCTTTCTTGTTTTTGCTCTGCTGTTTATAGCCATCATCACACAAGAGTCATGCAAGCAGAATTGTGTGGACCCTAAATACTCTTTATATGGCGAATTGCTGATGAAGAATAGTCCATAATTTGAACTCCAAGTCGTGCTCTTCAATAAAATAGATCAGATCTTATTCTCCCAAGAAAGATTAGTGAGACGAGTTTGTGAAAGGAAATATATGAAAAACTGCATCTCAAAAAAGTGGAGACTCACAAGAATTATACTTCATTTACCAAAGGGAAAAAAGAGAATCAGCATGAAAATCTTCTATGTATTTTCATAGAGTTACAAATATTTGGACTAATACCTCTGTACAGTAACTCCACTTACTCTACACCTTCAACTTTGAGCTATTTGACACTCTCTGAATTGCTTTAATGACTAAAATACCTAGTCTATCTCGCCCAACCATTCATGGTGATAATGCCTTCATCCACATAATTTTTGCGGTCTTAGGACAGTTGTGGTTTGATGTTCTTATAAGAGGTTCTGGAAGGAAGAGTCCAGATAATTGACAATAGGACTTATTTAACTTTTCAATTAAGCGTATTTGCATTATTGCTAACAATAATCTTGAAGATCCCCATTCAATAGCGAATGTGCTAAAAGATGTGACTTACTCATTGTGACTGGCTCTTTCGAAAACGAGATATATGTACCAATCCGAATTCTTCGCCCAACTCAGACAATTCACGGGGACTTCCGCAGGACTATTTACAAAGCGCTGCGGAACTTCCGGAACTTTGACATGCCAGTAATTCCGCAGGGTTTTGAATGTGCTGTCTCGTATGATGTTTCTCACCAACAACTAGAGTGCAATCGAAGATGTCAACCGTAGTGGAGAGGATAGTAGATGAGTCTCAAAGTCAATAGAGTAAGGTGCGAATCTCGCCCAGATGTCCCCTTTTGCTGTTGTGGTTCGCATTTTTCGAAACATTCGCAGCACGTTCGCGGAACTTCCGCAGGTGACCCGGCGTAACTTTTGCGGAAGTTCCGGTCAGTTGTCTGAGAAGTCGTTATTTAACAGCATACATCTAAGCTTACTACTCATCTCAACATCCCGTCATTATCACAATTTCCGCTTTCTTTCGAAAATATTTTCGTTTTCTGTACAATGACGAGTTGGTGCCTTCGATTACTAAAGCCCAATGTGTGACTCTTGTGCGATCTTTGATAGATTTTAGCTTTCAGTAAGCTAACCATCGAACGCAAAGTTGACCATCTAAATAAGAACAACGCATTTTAGCATCAAAGATATATTCTAATTTTACCCGACATCATCTTACCTAATAGATCGGCAAAAAAAAAATACACACAATAGATATTTCACGTTCTTAGTGTCAATTTTGACTTTAAATTGGTTTCTTGGTTGCTGCTCTCCAAATGAGTGTCTGAGGAAGATTGGCGGAATTCCGGTTGGTTGACCGACTTGTCCGAGTCGAAACTGCGCATTGACTTCAATGACGAACCATGGAAAACAAGGTGAGAGACGTTGTCGCTGTATGTTCGAAGTATCTCCTAAAATAGTTGATGAACGAACTGCACAAATAGCTATGGGATTACTGTAATTACAAACCCTGTAAGGATCCTCATCGTCATGGGAAGAGGTTGCGCATTGGTGATCGGAGATAATGGTTGGTATTTGGACGCTGAAAAACCAAATTTGAAATAAAACCGTAATAAACTAAATCTGTTGGTTTGGTTTGAAAAATGTTTGGAAAACATTTCATCGAATTATATATTCGGAAGCAAAGATGAAGAATATGTTTGAATTTACCTTTGTGAAGAGGATTTACTTCGCTTCCCGAATTTCGCAGAAATTGATCTCTTCAAATCTTTCAGATTCTTTTGCAGCATCTGGAAAAATAGGAAATTTACTTGACTAGGTAGTGAACTCGCTCATACATTGAAGAACGGTGGATACAATTATGCATAAGATTTTATCGGAAAGTTGAACATACATCTATGCAACATACATACCAGTGGCGGTTACAGGATTTCCGTCCGGGGAGAGGAACAGAAACTTTTTTCAACTGAAGGCCTGGCGTTAGCCAAGTATTCCGAAAAAAATTCTGGCGTACTTCTTAAAATTTTTGCGAGCCCACAACCCTAAGATCCAGAAAAGAGGGCGTGGCTGCAGTCGCGCCCCCGAAAATATCTTTTATAAGGCAAACTTGAATTTGAGTTTTAAAATTTATTTTAATAATTTCAAAAATTAACAAGTTACTTACACATTTTATAACCCATGTAAGTAAGCTCAAATTTCCCTATCCATTCCGGGAGGGGGGAGTTAGAAACCCATAGGAGTAATAGAATGTCTCGTACACATCTGTGGTCTCTTTGCAAGGTTAGAAATTCGCAGGTTATGCGAAGACGTGGCTTATTTAGTCACAATCCTCTGATGACGCAAACCGATATATGTTTCCAAGCTTAGATATCCGGATTAGGAATTTCCGGCAGATTGCGATGAGGATTTTCGGAGAAAATAATGCTACACGAATTTTAGATTGCGATAGCAGGTAGCAAGTGACACTTAGCCAGAATATGCCCAAATTAATGAGCACGAGATATGATGCAGAAAGTAATTAGCAGTCAAGCATCTGCAAGCCTTATAAGCGTAAAAGAAATTCCCATTTGCAACGAGGAGGAGTCAGGTTCCTGCATACATACGAGAAAGCAATGAGTAATACTAGTTTTTTTTCTCGCAATGAACCAGTCAGAACATTCGACTTCAATTTTTTATGGGAACTAAGTAGTTTGAGCTGAATAAGTCCTAAGCGAATCTTTCAAAAAAGCGCTTGATTATAGGCTACTTATCCATACAATTGATAGGCTGTCCATTCCAAAAAAGATTGTGAAAGAAAAATAATAGACCTGCGTCATGCAACAGAAACAATGTCCTCTTAGAATACTTCCTTTGTAGGACACGATAGGTTATGAAAAACGAAAAGAATGAATGAACCGCATGATTGCAGGTATTTCTCCTTCCTTAGGCCCCGGACAGACTTCACGCGATTTGATCGTCGCGACTGAATCGCGACGAGACAACTGTTACAACATCATTCCATACAGATCAACTTGCATTCCGGTGGTGATACTTTTCTAGCCCGAAAATTTGAATTTGAAATGAAAATGAATGGAAATGTCAGCGATTGAGTCGCGAGTCGCGACGACCAAATCGCGTGAAGTCTGTCCGGGGCCTTACATATGCAATGATGATTTACTGTAAACAAGAGGGACGAGATACAAGATAAGCTTTGCTGACGCTTTTGGTAATGCCTAAGACTACAGTTTAAGGAGATCATCGGATATATTCTAAACCGTTATGTATGCTATCATTTCCTGTTTCGATTGCGAAAGATTATAAATAAGTTAAGGAAGCCTTGACTAAAAAATTGTTGTATTCTAATGGCGGAAAAGTAAAACCCTCATGATGCATAAAAGTTCGAGCATATATCAAATTTATCTGGTGAAATTCTAATTGTATCAAGGCCAACTGAGCCAGCAATTCCAAAGAGATTTGATGCTCACATTGCCAAAAACAAAAGACCGACTCAAAAACACCATTCTTATCTACTTTAACGCTCAAAAAAGCATTATTTCCCTCGGCTTGTTGAAAGATTACCAAAGCATTTTCACTGCTTTAAGCAGCTGATAACAGATGAGGCAAGTTCTTCTCATACTGTGTTGAGAAAAAAATTACGAACTCATCCATTCGCGCTCAGGTCAAAGAATAGCTTTTTCTTAGCTTTTTCCCACACGACAGATGTTATCGGAGTGTTCATTTTGATCTCTAGTGTTTCGGGATCCGAGCTGGTGCAGTGTTTAGCAAATTTTACACCTGAGAATGAGTACCTTTGAGAAGTAGATGTGCTGCTTCTTGCTGCACAAAAGTCTCAAATTTTGGCAAATAATTGTACCAGGAATGCATTAGCTCCTACATATTGAGATGTTCCAAAATCTCCTCAAGCTCATCATGATTGTGAAAATAGAAATAAGAAAATCTTCTTAGGGAACTAGAATGTTTCTAAGAAAATAAGAGCTTCAATGTGCGTGATGGAATGGCAGAAGTATGAGAAATGCAAGTAGTCATACATCCTTGAAAGTATCTTTTGATGTTTGTGAGAATGAGCACATCATACGAATGATTGCATGACCGGCTAAGCAACTACGATGAAGCCTTCATCATACAAAAACAATCATCAAAGCAATATTTGCGATAATTTGAATGTATATTTCTCTTTTGTCATTCAGGTGGTAATTTTGCTATTTCTTCTAGATCCTCTTGTGGTCTGAAGGGTAAGAGGAGAGCGACAAAAAAGCTACTTGCTTGGAAGTGCTACTATAATTTTCGGATCGTAGATTTCCATTGTGCACACTTTTCTTTCCTCTGGGGTTTGTTCTAGCTCGGCTTCAAACTGCGTTAGAAGTGACGACATGGCGGGGGAAGAGAGGGGGGGGGGGGTGAAGAAGCATAATATTAGGTCGGTGCAAAAGCTTTGTCAGTTTTTTCAATCCATCGGCAAACACGTTAGAATGAAGATAAACTAACACTTCAAAGTGTATCCGATGCAGAATTTCTTCCTCTTTCCAGCTGCTAAACTGCCATTGTGTTTCGTTGAGAGATTGATGAGATATTTGCTAGAAGTTACAACCACTCGTTTTTACCATGTCCAAATTTCGCTAATTTTCAAAATTTTTGTATGAGACTTTCGGAGGAGCCCTGATAACCAGCAGATAGGGCAAACCTTTTGCCAACAAAAGCAATTTTTTGTAGCCCTATTGCTTGTCTTCCAGAATTTCTACGATTTATTTTTTGAAGTGACCAAGTTTTACATTCAGCCTATTTTAACCTCATAGAACATAAAATGTTGAACACTTCAGTCATCATTCGATGCAACTTTTTCTCCTCTGTCTAACACTTGTCTTATTTTGGCGAGACAGGCGAAATTTGTGGGGGAAAATCGCAGTATTTCTCAATTTCAGGAGACGCACTGACGTAACCTATATTTCAAAATCTTCATGTTTTGAAGCGGAAATCGCTCATTCACTTTGTAATGGTAGCGGTAGTAATAATCGAATGTTGAAACCTCAGCTTTCTGTAGTTTTTGCAGTGTTTGATGCAACCACAGGTTATGCGATTTTTCCAAAACACAAGACTTTTGGAAAATTATTTAGCAAAATTCTGAAAAAGCAGCTGAAAAAAGGAAAAAAATTGCATAAGTTGGCAAAAGGTTTGCCCTACGCGCTGGTTATCAGAGCTCCTCCGAAAGTCCCACACAAAGATTTTGCAAAATTAGCGAAAATTGGGCATGGTAAAAACGAGTGGTTGTAACTTCCAGCAAATATCTCATCAGGCTCGCAGCGAAACACAATGGCAGTTTAGAAGCTGAAAAGAGGAAAAAATTCTGCATCGGATACATTTCGAAGTGTTTGCTTATGTTCATTCTAACGTGTTTATAGATGGATTAAAAAAACTGACAAAACTTTTGCACCGACCTAATATAAGAGCATTGATTTGAATGCATAAAAGGCTATTGTTACCTGCAAGACGTGATTTACTCGGATGTCTGGAACTATCATTGATGAATTAGTCGCAAAAGCTGAGAATTCTACCTCTATGTCTCAGCACATGCTTATCGGCGTTCGACAAATTCTGACATATGTATGGAATTGTTCAAGTACTCATTAATTGATGGCATAATTAAGTATAAAGCACAGATGCTCATCATCTGAGCACAATTTGATTTTTCCACTGCTAACATACAGGGTGTCCTAAAAGTATACTTTCAAAATGACTTTCTTCCCAAAAGCCTTTTGCTTAGCCTTAGGTACCATTTTGCAGTGCTCCTTTAACTTATATACCTTTTCGAAGAACAGTGAAAAACATTATGGCGGATTAACTGGAGAAAAAACCTCATGGCAAAGTGCAAATTTCATATTCACAATCAGCGATCTCAGTTTAGCCTGAAGATGAAGATCCACTTGTTGAGTACCCATACTGGGGCAAAATGCAGCCACAGATGGCTCAAAGTCCTCTTCATATTTCCTATGGTAACCCAACAGTAATGAAGAGCGATGAATGAATGAAGAAGTGAAAGAATGAAGCAGTGAGGAGCCAAGTGTGGATCTAGAAGCCAGCTCTAGGATGGCACCTAAAGCTAGGCAAAGTACATTGTGAGAAGAGAGATATTCACGATTAAAGTGTACTTACTTTCAGGACACACTGTGTACTCTAGCTGAATGGAGTAATGGGCAGACGCTCAATTACATTCTACCAAGTTCACCTCTATAGACCAGCATGAGCAATTGATCAGGAGTTCTATAGACTTCACTAATTAAGACTTTTAGTTTGGGATCGGGCTTACAGATGAAATATCCTCTATGACATAAAAAATGAACCAGGACCCAATTTGGTTGAGGTCAATAAAGGAGAAGAGGTAATAAACTATGAGAAATCTTTTGCTAAGCAGCCGTACGATGAAACACTTCACCACATGATCATATGCAAAACAAAAGAGGATGGAGCGTTTATCTGCTCACAATTTTTTCCTCTGAGAAGGCTTTGCATAGGATCACGGTGACATCACATTATTCCTTTTTGTCAGTAACGAGAAACTGCATGTGTTAGCTTCCAGAGCTCTCCTCTGTAAGGGCGGAAGCCTTCGAAGAGATTTTTAGCCTATTTTTCGCAGTTATAGGAGTGCGATATGTGCTTACCAGAAAAGACGTAGTATGGGAACTTGCAAAAATTGTTCAGAGCAAGGCTACTTGTTGTGCAACATCTAATTGAAGCTTGAAAACCAGGGCTCGCCACGACGGGTCTTTACGAAAACGCAAGAAACGAAGTCTCCCTG